CCTTAAATATTTCAATAGTTCACATCGAATCTTAGTAAAAATCTATAAACTTTGCCACAGTTTTGGCAACACGATACTTTCCAATTAATGTACGCCAATTACTATAAATATGATTCTGTAAGTAAATTCAGTGTTTTCAGCATTTTTTTTATCCTATAGAAAGTGTTGATTTCCAAATTAGATCTAATATATAAATAGATACGTAGGTATTCTAAAATGTTAAAATTTTAAAAAGAAGTTCAGATGTTTCATTAAATAATAAATCACAGTTCTTTGTTTTAGTAAGAAAACTGTTTTTAAATTACCATTTGTGATCTTTGTCTACGTCTTATTTAGAGTTGTCTCATTCATATATAGAAAACGTTAATATAACAATAGTTTTCCTTTTTCGACCAGATTAACGGACATAATATCACTCAAGCGACGCATGATCAGGTTGTATCCATCATCCGACAGTCAGGCGATCTGGTTACCATGACAGTGGTAACTGACAACAATCCACCTGAAACAAGACGCTCCTTCAACCAACGGGAGAGCGCTACAGTCCCACGCAGAATGTCTTTTAAAAAAGGTTGCACAATTTACGCCGCTATAAGATTAATCTAACCATTGCCGTTAGAAACAATTTTGGGGTGGTCAGGCCATTGTCACAGCTAAACAGTGTGACACACGATGTGTGTAAGGCATGCCATTTCTAGGGGAGACGTGGGGACATGTCCCCCCCCAGAAAATGTTTGCAAATTTAATGCTACGAGATTGAATCTGGAGCTATTTTAAATACAAATACTGCATACACACAACGTAATGTATTGATTTAAAACAAGCAAGTTTTAATATATAAGATGTAGCTATACATGCCAAGAAAAAGTGGTCAGGCCATGGCCTGACTGACCTTACCGCTTCTTGCGGTTTTGCTAACGGATGCTGTGGTTTAATAATGCAGTTTTTGAAAAGATATTTAATATTTATATTGTATTATTTTTTTAACGTTTCTACCATTAACAGTATTCGTTAGAATGTTTAATATATCTCATTTTATTTTTTTATTATTGTATATTTATTATTGAGATCATTTTGTATTGTTAGCTTAATATGTGTTTTTAGGACAAACCCCAATTTCCTTCGCGATTCATTATTCGGATTACGACCGAAAACATTGCTAACAGCGAAAGTATTTACTTGATGAAACAATGAATTCTAATGGTTATAAGTAAGAACGTAAGAAAATTATATTTGATTAGCTATACTAATTACCAGGTTGATTTTTGTAGTTTCACTCTAAATAGGTAGCTTGCTCTGATCGGATGTTAATATCAACTGTACTGTTTCTAAATACTTTGATTATTGTTAATATTCATTTAAGACAATAACGATCTAAATAATTAGTCGAAATGATGTCTTTGCTGTTGTCTAAAGTGTCACTTTTAACTCGAAATCTAAATCAATCAAATATTGGTTTAACTCGAAATCTAAATCAACCAAAAACTGGTTTAACTCGAAATCTTAATCAATCAAAAACTGGTTTAACTCGAAATCTAAATCAACCAAAAAATGGTTTAACTCGAAATCTAAATCAATCAAAAACTGGTTTAACTCGAAAACTAAATCAGTCAAAAATTGGTTTAACTCGAAATCTAAATCAATCAAAAACTCGTTTAACTCGAAACCTAAATCAATCAAAAACTGGTTTACATTTCAGTCGTCATTAGTAAGTTTCACTCACAATAATTCTGGAGTAGATGATGCTCCAGCAATGGTTAAAGAGTAGATTGCATGACCGAAACGGCGGCGATACGCTATAAAAATTAACATTGGAAACGAAACGAGTTGTTCATTGCATGGTATCAAGAACGTAATGTGCATGCGGAAGAACACACAAGTTTCTTTGCTAGTTCTCACGTCGGATTTTTTGTTTGTTTGTTTTTCAAAATTTTTCCATGCTCCTCTTTTCAATTCCCCAGTTCATTTTTCTCTTTTCAATTCCCCAGTTCATGATTCTATTTTCAATTCCCCAGTTCATGATTCTCTTTTCAATTCCAGTTCATGATTCTCTTTTCAATTCCCCAGTTCATGATTCTCTTTTCAATTCCAGTTCATTTTTCTCTTCTCAATTCCCCAATTCATGATTCTCTTTTCAATTCCCCAGTTCATTTTTTTTTAGTAAAATTTTTTTATTCGACTTCACTCAACAGTGTTTCAGAATATGTCTAGTTTTATAGCTCTTAAAGAGATTAGAATGGAAAGTCAGCTCTTATATTTTGTAAACTTCCGACATTTAATGCTAGCACCAACACCGCCTAAACGAGACCCAGGGACCACCTTATCATTTGGCAGAGCACGAGCAAGATCCATGGTAACAGGACTGGCAGATATTGGTGAGACATTACTTGGTTTTAGTTTTGCTTCTGTGACTTAAAAATAGTAAACAATTCTGGTGTATTCCTAGATGAAAATGAGAGTAACAGTGAGTGCCTTGAAAGGGAGGAAAAATTAAGAGAATGGAAAAAAAAGATAAATTTTCATTGATATAAATTAATTGAATACTTTAGACCTAAAGAATTTATGCTTTAATTACTGCTACCTACACTTGGATTTTGATTGGTCTTACATTAGGGATGGATGTTCCAATTCCTTCCTGTTAAGCACCAATCAGTTATTTCCATAAAAACAAAACATGCCAATCACAAGGTAAGAATGTGTACAAATTTACAAAGAAGGATTTAATTGTTACATAACGTATTTATTCGACGAGATGATGTGTAGTTATTACATGATTGATAGACTGACTTATTTATGTCACCGAGAGAGCTTTTTTTTTTTCTCTTTTCCGTTCTTTTTTTTTTTTTTTTTTTGACATGAGAAGTATATTGGTCATAGAGTTTGGTCAGGAAGGTATAAATGTATGAGCTTTATGAAAAGCTTGTATTTATTGTTTTGCTGGCGGAGCTCATAATTATGCCATGATCAATTTTTTGTAGTTTATTAATCGGAGAAAGGCTTGGTTCAACGTAACGAACGTCATGTTTCCTTATTTTATGGAGTCACGAATGTAAAACAGGAGTTTCTAATTGGATGAATAAGTTACATGTATGTAACGTGGGGCCTCCCGCTGCAAAAGTGACGTTACTCTGCATAGGCTCCACCTTTACAGTGGATTATAGACTTATGACAGCATAACATATTCGTGCACTGCTGCCATCTAGTGGTATAAATCAGTAATAGTTAACTGTGAATGAAAACCTTAAGGTATTGTAGTTATTTAGGTAGAGAAAGTTTTGGTTCCGAATAAACTCTATCGTCTACCTGATCAATATAGGACGATTTATATTAAAATCCAGCAGACTATATTTCGTTTTTCTTTTTACGCTATTCAACTGAGATTACTGCATTTAACTTGTGTTCACAATATTTTTTTCAGTATTATTAGAATCTCTAAACCGTTTTTCATTTTAGATTCCCTGGAGGATCCTCTTCAAGATTTGTACTTCGAAGCAAGATCAGCGAAAAAGGTTTTTTTTGTGCCAGGCGAGGATGGTGAGAATCGACCATCAACTGAACAAGAAAACCTTGAACTCAAACAAGATACGAATTCCAGTATTAAAGCTTCCGAAAAAGAAACTGTAACTTCTGAAATAACTAAGGAACTAGAGTCAATGCTCCATCAAAACTGCCTTTTGCTGCTTGGCAAGAAGTCTCGTAGTTGGCCAGAACTGACAAAGACATTTAAAAGCCCAATTCGGGATAAAATATTTTTTTTAATAAACGAAGTCAAAGCTATGGGAATCTTCATTCGTTAGGTACTAAAGGTCACGTTTCTTCTTGGGCTTGTCCTCCGCATAGCTATAAAAATGCCGATTTACCCAACAAGGACGATGACGTGCTCGTCTACCAGCAAAACGAGTGTCCACTGCCTTCAAGCCTAAACAGTGACGAGGAGAATCTTATTAGTCCGCGGACACTGCGGCCACATTCGATTTTAATAAACGCTACAGATGATTATATAGACAAACAGGCACCACGTGTAGACTCTGGCGAATTAAAATCTGGTGAAATACGTTTTACTGAAAAGAAATACTGGCCACAATCGATGGACACAACTAATGAACAGGGCTATTTCCGCGAACGAAAAGTCTGGCCACAATCGATAAACACCAGAAAAGAAGAAATACCCCTATTACCTAAACCTAGACAACCCCCTAACCAACCTCTCCCAGCTCCTCCTAAAGGGCAGGTGGTCCGGGTTGACATTCCCAACTCCCAGGGCGAGTATGCTAATATAGAAGTATTCAGGAACCGCGAGTCTTCGGTGATGTCTAGTTTTAGGCCAGGAAACAATGCGAAACTTTATGTGTCACCCGAGTCACTGCAAAGAGACAATGCCAAATCTTATGTCTCGCCCGAGCTACTGCAAAGAGACAATGCCAAATTTTATGCCTCGCCCGAGCCACTGCAAAGAGACAATGCCAAACTTTATGTCTCGCCCGCGTCACTGCCAGGAAACAATGGCAAACTTTATATGGCGCCCGAGTCGCTGATTAATGTTGGTTACAAACCATTTACTCCAAACAAAATACTGCAACATCCCTTCCCCAGGATACTTACTCGGCCCCAGTCAGTGCCACCTAGAAGCGTGAGACACCAAACATCTTCGGAATCAGAAAGTAGTGGCGATACGAGTGGTTTTTATGGTACTTTAATTAGCTCTCAAAAAAGGCCACCAGGTGGCGGGGGATCTCGACATCTCAGAGTTAAGAACGTTTTAAGCAATCACAGTAGTTTTGGTAGTCCTGTACGCCACCAAGTGTTACATCAAAAATCCAAAAGTCACTTTTCTAAAGGATTGGAGTGTGACAGCAGTGAAGACGAAGAACTCTCCTCATCCTTAAATATAACTGGAAGACTTTCTACTTTCGGAAAAACTGAAGAAAATACATTGAATTGTAGATCTTGGCAGCTTCATTCAGAAGCTGAAAAACTTAGACGAATTATTGGGTCCCAGGCTGATCCAAACCGATCTAAATATCCATTCGGAAGCTATTCATTTGACCTACAAAGATATTCTCAAAGTTCGAACCAACCAAAAATATTCCGTAATTATAGGAGCTTACAGTCGCCTTCTGAAGGTTATTATACCCTTCAAAAACCCAAGTTAAGTCATCCCTCGAATGAAGTTCAGTCAAATTCGGAACCATTTTCGTGTCCTTACACAAGACTCCATCAGCATGAACATGATACGAAGGAAGATATCAGCGGTATAACTGGTAGCTCGATTTTCGAATCTAAGCCCACGAAAGCTAAAAACATATTTCACGAACCCGTTAATCGATCATCAACTCTTCCAAACCCCAGGAGTTCTCATTTTGAGACTGATGAACAGGACAATGTCTACACAAACAAAACGATTCGACCCTCCCGTTCTTACCCAAGTAATCTGGCACAAGAAGACTGGGATGAAAATGAACTCTCTCCGAATGATGTGGTAAGCAAACCAGAGCGTAGTGACACGAATTCAATGGAATATCTTATCGCCAACACGAATGGCTACATTAGTTGTGTAACTGAAACTGGAGGATCGTACAGTGAGGAGCAGTATCGTGAACTTCCATTCGAAAAGTTTGTAGGAATGGCTGGACTCAAGAAACAACAGACGAACGTACTGATAGACGGGTCACAAAGTAGAAGCGTGAACGCTAGCTCAAGCTCTGTAGGCCTTTTACAGGCTCTGCCTCCACCACCAGAGTGCGGTGTTGTAACACCAACAGATGATCACCTAGCAACAATGATTTCCCCACCCCCAGAATTTAGTGATGGGATCTTTAGATTAGGGATCGAAACGAGTAAAAGAAGTACACCACAACCTACTAGCTCATCCGGTCATCCAAATTCAAAAGGCAACTTTTTGGTACAGTTTGCTTCCGACAGATCCGGTGGAAGAGAACGGGATCATTCTGTAGTAGATGATTCAAAAGTGGCAAAGTTTATTCCTTCGCGTGCACAGCAATTCCTCCGACACGACTACCCTCGATTTCCTTCTAACTTGAGTGCAAGCACAGCTCGTTCCACTGCAAGTTCCAGCGGACATCCTCTTCAGAAATCGGAAGAAAGAGAATTCCGCCGCAAACCACTGCAGAACTGGTCAACCACGGATGTCTCAAACTGGCTGGACAGTCTTTTTTTATCCCAATATAAATCAGTTTTCTTGAAAGCAGGAATTAACGGCGCAAAACTAGCTAACATGGATAATAACGATCTAGTCGGGTTAGGTGTGAAACTCGTTGGTCATCGCTTGAATATTGAGCGGTCTATGAAGTGTTATATCAATAAATATTGATCCAGTGATGGACCTATGACGTAATGAAAAAATAAGAAATTATACGCTGCACGATTATATCCACAGCAAACAGTACGGTGTGAAGATAAGCCATACGGATTAAAGAGTGTAGCTTCGAAATAAGTCACAAAGCGTTATCATAACGGAATAAATCAGGCCGTATTAACACCCCCCAATTAACTACGTTTAAAAATAAAAGATAAGAGAAAAAGTCTTCTCTCGAGTATGTTGGCTCACTTGTTTTATAACGGAATAAATTAACGGAAAATTACACACTGAATTAACGCCCCCCAATTAACTACGTTTAGAAAAGGGAGAGAAAAAGTCTTCTCTCCAGTATGTTGGTTCATTTATTTTATAACGGAATAAATTAGCGGAAAATTATACACTGTATTAACGCCCCAAATTAATTACGTTTAGAAAGAAAGAAAAAACGTCTTCTCTCCAGTATATTTGTCTTTGTTCTTTCTATAATAAAATATATTACCTGTATAGTTGGTAACGGATTATGTACCTATATTACAGTTTTGTTTTCTTGTATATACTGACTGCGATGTGTGTGTTAACGGAAATACGTAAAGTCGAAATCAAAACAGACTTGTAAAACACCCCCAAATGAGGTGAAAACTATCTCATAAAATTGTGCATTTTACATAACGTTTTGTGTGTTAAGACTTTAGCACGTGTTTATTTAATTCCACAAAGAAAAGTCACAGTAGATATAACTGAAAGTAAAGGTAAGCCTTATGACTCAAAAGGTGTGAAACTTAACACGTGTATTTAAGCAGACTAGGATCTGAAGGTATGGTGACTGAAATGTCAAGATGAAATAAAAACTGTTCTTTTCAGCTCTTGATTTTAATCTTAAACTATCGTGACGCTTGTCCGTTGGCGATACTACGATTTTAATGGTATTTTATTTGACTCCACTTTTATTACAAACGCTTTTCGTTGAAAGTGCCGTTTTTTTCTTTCCTTAATTGTGTGTTACTTTTAATCATTTTATAAATTTTTTCTCACTTTTTTTTTCAACGATGGGGAAATATCCCCCTCATATTACAGCAGTACTAAAATTTCTATTTATCAACAATTTACTTTCGTGGTTCAGCTACAGTTGTTGTTTTTACCGCAAAGCAACTCTATATATGTTATTTGTACTCTGTCCTTTGCGGCGGCGAATCGAACCCCGAAATTTAGTGTGGTAAGTCCGTAAACTTCCCGCTCACCCACCAGGGGAAGGACTCAGCTACAGAAACTGTCTTCTCACTTTTGAAACCAAAGTTACCCCACCAGGCGTAGTCGGGAAAAAAAAAGAGAGCAAGGAATGGTTTGTTAAACCATCTCATGATATACAACAGTACAAATAATCGATATAACAGAGAAATTTTAATTTCTTGTCTTCTCTGAAATAACACACGTTTTTAATTGATTATTCACTAAACTAAGTTGTCGCGAGCAAAATAATATTCAATAGTAAAACCATGTTTAAATTAGCTTTTCTACGTATTCTTGTATTCTAATCAGAGGTGTAGTCCTGTGGTGTGTGTGTGGGGGGGAGTTGCCCCCTCAGTTCGTGTGCAGTAAAATTAGCTTTTTCTGCATATTATTGTATTATAATCAGAGGTGTAGTCCCGTGGTGATGGTGTGAGGGGGTCGCGAGGGGGAGCCGCCCCCTCAGTTCATGTGCAGGAAAATTAGCCTTTTATGCATATTATTGTATTTCTAATCAGCGATGTAGTCCTGTGGGGGGTCGCGAGGGGGAGCCGCCCCCTCTATTCATGTGCAGGAGGAGCGCCGCTCCCATAATTCGTACGTAGATTGCTTCTAATGTTGCCTTCATTCAAATGTGGATCGATGAGATTGTAATCAAGTTTCTCATATAGAACGTTTTATATAAGATGAAGTTTTTATTAGTAGTTGAAAAGCAGCATATGCTTTAAAATAATATACCTCAAGTAACGGTTCTCTCAAGTCCTAATTAACTATAAGTAAACACGGTAGCCGTATTAAATAACCAGTTTGATAATTAGATGTTAGGTCGGATGGGGAGAGGTAAGGAATAGGTGGCGACCCCTCACTTCATCACTGATTCTAATTGTATGCTTTGATTGCCTAATTTTACAAAATAACTTCTTAATTGAAATCATACATACATATTTTATTGAACTGGAAACAAGAAATCTTTCAGATAACACGAAAACATTCTCAACTTTGATAGCAACTATATATATATATATTTTTCCGACTCAGACTGGAGAATTTAGGGACAATCCTCTAAGCACAGACTTATCCAGAAATCAGAAAATAATTTATGTCATCAGCTATCAATCAGCTTTGTTACTTTTAACAAGTTATGATCGAAACTTAATCCTAACGCTACATTACTACAGACAATATCATCTCACAGCGGACCGTACTATATGTTTGGTCGTATATAAATATATATATATACACACATACATGTCCATATGTAAACATATTAAGACATTGAGAAATTTCTAAATTTTATATAACAATCA